GATGTTACTTAGATTCACTGACTTAACCCAGATTATTGTGAGTTAAATACCAGGCCAATCAAAAACTTGGAGAGTTATAGGGAAATGACTGAGACATTCTGAAGAGGCATGTGATGTGGAACTAGAAAAATTTAGCCAAATAAAAGGTTCCGTTCAAAATTTTAATCACCTGAAGGAGGCCGGAGAGTACAGTGGCCGAAACGTTTGGAAGATAGTAATGAAAATGAGTCCGAAGAATATAAATAATGCAAGAAATCATTATACCTCATCTCAGAGATATAGACAGAAACTTCAGAGCGTTGATAAATGAATCAACCAATTGTCTTAAGTCTTCAGTTCATCTGTGATGGAATTGTCCACCGTTTCCTGTTATATCGGTGAATTAATACTATATAATAGTTAATCACTTTTTAATGAAACTTGCTTTTTCTTTACATCAAGAAATCTATTGTGTTTTATTTTTACCTATGTGCATAATTCCATTATTTTAACATCCTAACCCCATTTGCAATTATAACTATCATTTGGTTTCTAGATGTTTGTCACGAAATATTTTCATTGTTATACATATTTTTCGATCGACTCTTTCAATTTTACTCTTGCATCAAGTTTCAGTTGTTATATTATTTACCTTTTTTTTTATCTGTCACGTCATTTTTTCTGTTAAAGATTTTAAAATTTTCATTTTTCCTCGTTATTTGAATTATTGTTTTCGTCCATTTTTATTATATCTTTTAAGATAATTCTCAGAGCCACCTGTTACGTTGTCATCTAGTGATCACAAGATTCCAAAGTATGGTTTACAAAAGGCGATTATCTCCCTTTGGTGGAGATGAAATCACGTTGGTCAAGTGACCGCTGTTTAGTGGCGACACTGCATAATGACAAAAGTAGTAGTTATTCAATCCTGCAGATTCCAAGAGTGAAACAGAGCTGTGGCTTTTAGGACCCGAGGACGCTTGAGACTAAATCGGTCGTCTACAGCAAGTGGTGAAGCTTACAAACCTATGGAAATATATCTTTAACAGATATACCAAATATCTCCAGTTCGCAGTCTTCATAAACACAGGAATCACCTATTGTCGCTTTCGGAATATGTACTCATTAGTGATATAGCAGATGAATCCACTCCGCGCGAATCTTGAATTCTAAATACGGCTTCTCCAGAAACACAGAAGTATCTCCGGCAGCTTCAGTTCCCGTTGAGAATTATTATACGTAAGACTCTTTTTTTCGTTTTCCTTTCACTCTGCTCGTTATTGCATACATGTTATTATTTCTCTGCGTGGGAGACACACACACACACACACACACACACACACACACACACACACACACACACACACACACACACACACACATATATATATATGTGTGTGTGTATATATAATTTTGTTGATTTTTTTAAAAGCTGTTTGTAAATATATAGTTATATTTCATTTACACTTGTCCAACAAAGTCTAAAAAGCCCAATCTCCCGTATTATTCGCATGAGTTTGAAGTCATATTTTTCTTCTTCTAGACTAGCTCCCAGCCAAGGAAATTGGCCTCTTTTACCCTGATATTGAATCCATAGCCGGAAGAAGGGTATTAATCCGACGGAATTAAACAGGTTCAGTCAGAATTTGAACACGCGACAAATTTCACTTTCCGTGTTGATAAACATTACAGTAAGTATAAACACATTGGCTAAGTTTAATCTGGTGTTGTTTAGAAATTAATCAAGTTAATGACTGAATGATTAATTCCGAATATACACGTGTGTTATGGTGGTTATCTAATCCATTTGGCACGTTTCTGTTTTTTTAAAACCCAGAGAGCCAAACCGTAGTTTATACCAAGACTATGATGAGTAAACATTAGTTACAGTTTTAGCGAGACCTAGACACACGCACAGAGAGAAGCGAGAGGGGAAAAGCATAATAAGGCGTGATCAACAGTTGATCAAATTCAGTACTCGATGACTTGTTAATCCGTACCAGCAGAATCTTCTACGGCCTCCGAAAAGTTGTTTCTACACAATTTCACTTACAAGGCTTGGGACAATATGTAATATGATCTTCAAACACTTCTTAAATGTGGCGTATGCTTGGAACAGTATTATATTATGAAGGAATAACCCCCTTAACGAACCGAACAAAATGAAATTCGAATAAGTGTCTCATATTCATAACGATAAATCTAGAACCATACAGCAACGCGCCCGCATCTTACAGTCGATCGAAATCGGAGGAAGGACGATTTAAACTCAAGAAACAAAACATTTCTAATGATTTTTAGTAGGAGATTGATTCCTATAGATTATAGTTGCTTTTCATCATATCTACTCAGATCATAATTGTATGGTCAACAATGAACTGTGATGGTTTGGCATAAAAAATAAAGCCCGACTTCAGCTCTTGACTTGAATCACGTTTGCTTTGTAATGTATAGTTGCTCGGATTGAAGAATCCGAGAGTTGAGTTTGAATTCCAGTCGAATTTATTACATCACTTACGTGTTAATACCATTGGGAATGGTATGAATCCTCTTCTTCTCCCCCCTAGCTATGGGTAAATAGCAGGACAGACCGGGCTCTCCAGAGTGGTCCTTCTAGACCAGTTGGCAACTCTGAATTCAAAACCTGATCCTACGGGTTCGGGGTTGTGTAGTAGGCTAACAACGTAGTTAAAACTGGCTTGTTATAAAAACAGCAACGATATCTTGCTGCCATATGTTCCTCAAGGAATTTAATATATATTGTTCATTTGAAATTCAAGTAGATCAGAAGAAAAAAAAAGTGGTGAATATTTTCGGGAATTTAGTGATTAATCCCGATCTGCTTTATTTACTAATGGCTATAGATTAACGGTCGGAATAGATGTTAGAAAGCAATTAAAGTTAGGCTGAAGTAGATACTAGAGAAAATAAATAGTTGAAGATGTTTCAATAGATACGATATTATCATTTTATCATTGCTTCTTTAGCGTATGAGGTACGTCCTGCCATTACCACGAATAATGGACATTCCAATTTGATAGCAAGGAAAGATGTTAGAAAATGATATATCAGATAGACAGTTTGCTTTTATTGAGAAAAAGAAAGTATAGATAATAAAAAAAGAAAGATAGAAATGGAAGACAGAAGCGGTGATAACATGTGTTAAACTTCTGCTTCTTTGAAATAAATATCTTTGACAATTTTGAATCTTTTCATTTGTATTCATTTCTTAAAATAATGTCCTGCATCCATATTTATGGCGCTCTTCTCAGCGCAGCTTAAATGTGGCACAAGGCCGAAAGTGAGGATCGAACTTAATACTTTATCGCAATTTTTCTCGCGAGGTAAGCTTGCTAACTATTACACCATGTCAAAGTTGCCCAAATCGATTTTCTAAACATAGCCTAGATGTGACACAAGACCATTATCATGGGGCGCCCAGTGAGGATCGAACTCAAAACTCAGTCGTAATTTTTCTAGCGATGAAAGCTTGCTAAATCTAACACCACGTGAAAGGACTTTAAATTTGTTTTCTAAATGTAGCTTAGATGTGGCACAAGGCCAAATATATGGGGCACTCAGTGAGAATCGTGCTCAATACTCAGTCGCAATGGTTCTAGCGCATCAATCTTGTTAACCATTACATCATGTCGAAGTGCTCCAAACTGAATTTCGAAGCGTATCTTAGATGAGGCACAAGGCCGAAAGGATATAGCACCCAGTGAGAATCAAACTCACTACTCAGTCGTAATTGATCTAGCGAGACATGCTTGCTAATCATTACACCACTTCGAATTTCTCCAAATTGATTTTCAAATCGTACCTTAGATGTGGCACAAGGCCGAAAGCATAGAGCACTTATTGAGCATCACACTCAATACTCATTCGTAATTGATCTAGCGAGGCATGCTTGTTAGCCATTACACCACGTCGAAGTGCTCCTGCATTCATATTTATCTATATATATTGCTTAAAGTAGCTAAGCTCAAATATTTAAAAGTACAATATGTGATTGAGATAGTCGCGGAGTTCGCAAGATTATACGATCAGTAACATAAGAATTATTATTCATCAGAAAGTTCAAATAGGAGAAACCGTTAAATTGTGTATTCGTATTTACTGTGGCTATATCATGGCGGAAAACGAAATAGTTGAACCAAGATGCGTACGTTTTCTTTCAAACGTGGTTGACAAAAGAATGAATTCGTTCTTTCGTTATCCTATTCTAAATCAAGATAGGTTTTGTCACTTGCCTACCACGATAGCAGCCGGGAACAAATTTGAAAAGAGCAGATAGATATAAGTAAACTGAGAAAGATAAATAAATACGTATACTGGCTATGTCAGTCTCCTCGAATTTTCTATGACGTGAATTCACTTGGTTGTCTTTCGATTTCTTTCTCCCAACGGTACAAAATAGCTTTGGGCTTTCACGGGCGTGCTCTGCATAATGGCGTCTTTTTATTCAAACAGTGTCTTACATGATTTTGCATGGCTTTCAGTCCCTGGCGTATTTTTCAACCGCACAATGTGTATACTGAATGCCAAATATCCCTGGCCCCGCTTTTCCCTTCGCAGCCGTGGAAGGTTTAGGCGTTTTACTGTAACTTGAAATTCTGTACATATTCTCTCAGCTGTCTTTGACAAATTCGGCTGGCTTGGACAATTGTCCCCACTTTCCTTAAGGTTAAATGTCTCAGCTATGAAAATTCAAATCTATCCCATTCGATTAGCATCTATCTATCTATCTATCTATCTATCTATCTATCTATCTATCTATCTATCTCGACCTGTTCCTATCTATCTATCTATCTATCTATCTGTCTATCTAGGTAAAATTGTATGTATTAGTTGAATCATTGTTTCAATTTTTTTTCCTACTTAATTCATCCTATCGTTAATTGCTTTTAACATCTATTTCGACTGTTAATCTCTCTCTCACTCTCTCTCTCTTTCTCTCTCTCTCTTTCTCTCTCTCTCTTCTAGCGTCCTATATGCACGTGTTTATCGTTGCTTAGAGATCATCTATGTAAACATTCACAGACTGTCATCACTGTCTTGTCCGTGTATTGCTTAATATGTTGTAATTGACATCTTTGATAATGGCTTATGTAAGCCGAAAGCTTAGATTGTATTAAAAAATATGGATCAATATTGTGAATTTCTTTCTTTGTTCAATTATAATGTTATTAAGCTCATCAGTCGATACGAAAGGAATTTGCTTAAAGGAAATAGAAAACATGTCTATATTATTAAATGAAACATGCATTTATATATATATATATATATATATATATATATATATATATATATATATATATATATATGTGTATATATATCAGTCTGTTCTTATCTATCTATCTCAATATGTGACCATCTATACGTCTATTTAGCGACTTGCTTAAGTCAATAGACTTATTGACTTATGCAAGTCGAAAAATATATTATAATGAAGCGGAATTAATTTGACAACAGAAATATCCATGTCAAACATGAGCAACTTCCTTGTCATTGCACTTTGTAGACACTTGATGAATCATAACATGATAGATTGAAAATATCGGATGAAAGTTTCCCAGGAAGCTATACTTTCCAACTCTTAAACGTTCAAGATTTCGCCTTATATCGTCTTATCTATCTATCTATCTATCTATATATATATATATATATATATATATATATATATATATATATATATATAGCAAAACAGAACACATATGCATAACAATTGCATTGAATCATGAAACAGACTATCATCGCTAGGTTTTGATCTCAATGTCAATAACGCTATTGTATTTATATTGTAAGCTATTGAAAATTACGTCAAGTACTGTCACATGTATGACAATATGAATACAATAGCGTTTTCTAAATTCTTCCAGTTGCTAAGGACATTTTATTTTGTTGTCAATAGTTACTGTTTTAATAAATTCATTTCGTTTTTGCCTTGAAAAGTCCACCTTGGACGAAACGGGTCGGCTACTTATACAGTTTTCCTACTGCCTTTTAGCTTTATAAATATAACTTTGAGAAAATTTTCCATACGATCTATTCCTGATACTGAGCACTATAAACCATAATTATATCCTACTTTAAATATATATTTTTCCTATATTTATACAATGGGTAAACTGTCGCCATTTTATATATTTAATTTCGTGCACCCGAATTTTTGTTTTTGATTTTTTTGACTGCACAGTAAAGTAGGCTTAGTTGGGCAGAATCTGTGAGAAAAAGAAAAGGATGACGAAATTCACTGCACCAGAAATTTGGAAATGGCATGTTGTATTAATTGGCATTCACGTGTGAAGCTCCGATACGGACATTTTTGAGTGTTTGAGTGACAAAGAGAGGACAGTGTTGCGGATTCGGAAAAGTTGGATGATTCTAATTGTGATTACGAATGTACGGCAACTCGGAAAACTCGCTCTGATCATTTTGATAAGAAAAGAACTCCTGAATTTTTGGTGAGGGATTCAAACTCAGCACCGAGTCACTTGAACAGTCAGATCGGCCCTCGCTCAAGAGGGTGGCTACTGAAAAACTCTATGTCTGGCAACAGGACACTGCACCATGCCACACAAGCACGAGTGCCCAGTCATGACTGACAGACAATTTCTGCAACCACTTTCATATGGCAACCTAACTCTCCAGACTGCATCGCCATGGTTATTATGAGTGGTGCTAGGTTGAGCGGGAGACCAACAAAACTCTTTGCAACACCAAAGATGACCTGAAAGATTATCGTCCAGAAGATTTTCAGGAGATTCCGAAGTCGACTGATGGGCGTGGTTGAAACCAATGGTGATTTTATCGAATAAATTTACTCGTTAGTATTTCAAGATATTTTTGTCTAATTTAAAAAAAAATATATATCTGTTAAAATAAGATGACAGTGTTATTTCTATGTTTGCATAAACTAGACAATTTAATTAGCACACACTGTACAACCAAGAGGTCGTTTTCACTCTAATTCTTAACCTCTGCAAGTTTAGGGTTAAACGTGACCGACAACGCATATTTTCATGGGTTGTGCCTCTTGCTCAGGAAACCTCTATCTCGGTCCATAAGCATCACTGTAAAAAAGTACAATATATAAATGATATTTCACTGGATGCGCGATTTACAGTTTTGCAAGTCACACAATCCTCAGGCGGCGGAAAAAAAAACCCACAGAAATTGATGCAAAAGAAAAAAACAGGAAATTTTCCTGTTTTTTTTTTTTTTTGGTTGTTTTGTTTTTTCAATCTGAGAACATTTTCTGTCATTTTTCAATGCTTGAGGAATGTGCACATCGCCCGGGAAAACTGCAAGAGCATATGAAATTGAAAATCCCTGGTACAGCAAAAGTTAAGCAAAATATCCGTTTTATATATTATATTACTCTGTATATTTTATATTTTCCATTGAGCACTGTCTTATCAAAATGTTTGTACCTTTGTCATTTTTTCATTGTTATACAATTTATACATATATATATATATATATATATATATATATATATATATATATATATATATATATATATGTCATCCAAAAGACAGACTGTTTCGCTGTATCACAGCTCATAAGTGTGGTTAGACACCCGATTGCCTCAAACCAGGATTGAAAACCGACTGGTCTGGTAAGATTCGGAGATTTTTTTTTCCCTAAGCTATCAGCTCCCGGTAGAGAGGGAAGTGAATTTTAGCCAGCGAAGGCGTAACGAGTCAGTCGTTCACTTTTGAACCGACTGTTCGGTCGAACTCTCTTCCTACGGACGGGAGGAACCCGAAGGAGGCTCCGCCGAATGACGGAGTCTCCTTCGGGGAGGGAAACCGGCCCTGAACCCGTATATACGGGTTCAATGGGCATATTTTTGGCCGAGCCCACGGGCTCGGAATGCCCACGTTAAAAAGGCCTTGTGCCACATGACATCCTCATGGGGGTGGGTGACTCAATATCATAACGAGTCACTCTCCTGAAGGTTAGCATCAGCCATACTGACGGAAAGCAGCACGGGGTCTCTTCGATGTTTAATAGAAAGCAGTTTTGTTTTGCAGTGTTTAAAATTAACAAGTCATTGAAGAGGATATTTACTGCAACGTATCTTAATTCTCCAAGGCAAAGCATATTAACAACATCAGTCAGTTAAGAGCAGAAGAGGTTTAGGTATAGTTTTATTTTGTTTATCGGCATATAAACATTAATACCTTATTTAATGCCGACAAGATTTTTAGGATAGATTCGTATGAAGAGAATATGCATTCTTTGTAACAAATCTGTTTCCGATCAGGTCTCATTGACGTATTTTTTTGAAGAGGGTATTGTCGAGCGTCAAATATACAGTAATGATTTTTTTGGAAAAAGTATTGCTGACAATTTAAAATCTGTTTTTATCTTTCCATAGTGTTTCTACTTCAGTTTCAGCGTTAACTATTTGCCCATAGCTGGCACCCTAACAGGTGCTACCACCCCGGATCAGGGTGGACCTGGGAACAATAGCAATAAAGAGGTGGTTAGACGCTCCTCAAAACATCCCGATCAATGGCTTTGCTGCCGGATGTAGTTTATCGTCATACCCAGGACAGAAAGACCAGAATATTTGAGACCCATACGTTATTATTATTATTATTATTGGGCCAGGTTCTGTTCTACCTCTCTTTCGTCTTCAGATCGGTATTCCTTGTCATCCACCCCATTACATTATTTTTCTCTTCCCATTCTTGTTCCTCTTTTTTTTTTTTATCTTCAATTGTTATTCATTCAAGTACCAACTAAACCTAACTCTACCAGGAATTCCTCAACACATTTCCCTACTAATGTGTTTTTGCTAACCGACCTCAAAATCGTTGGTCTGAATTACATGACTGGCCGAAGAATAAAGAAAATCAAATCGCGAATAAAAGTGTCAATATTTTCTATCGGTCGTAGAGCCGTTGACGTAAAAACTTCAGCTTAGAAAAAAGTTATGATTTACCCAGATCGCGTATATTTCCTCGATTTGAAAAGAAAAGATGGCGGGAATGGAACCAGAGAGACAGTGACGAAATACGAACTTCCATTTCAGATGGGCAAAATCACAGGAGAAAACGTGTGAGAATTTAAACAGAATGTAGAGTAAAAGAATTCAGGGTTTGCAGAAGTCAGTCTCTTCGCATTGCAAGCAAGACTTTCGAGATTATTTTTCGTTAGGTACAAGGCCAACATTTCGAAAACACCTTCTTGACCTCACTATTTTTTTTAAACTGAATTATAGTGGAACGACTACACTGAATCAATAGCTGCATCTATTTGCAAAGAAAGAGTTCATCTTGCACGTTTACCATTCGTTCAGACATTGGATACTGCTGCCATAACTAGTATGGTGCTCCTGCTATTCATCTCGATGTTCATGACAAAATCCAAAGAAGGATCTGCAATGTAATCGATCCTGACTTGGCATCTTCATTCTTTTTCTCACCGACGTGACGTGGCTTCCCTCTATCTTTTCTACAAATATTTTCATGTCAAC